AGGCATGAGATGAGTGTGTATCCNGTANGTTAGAGAGCATTTTAATTAGTTAACTACACACGACACACACGCACGCACGCACGCACGCACACACACACACACACACACACATACAGTCACACACACGCACACACACACACGCGCGCACAAACACACATACACACACAGTATACACACACACACACACTAACACACACACACACACACACACACACACATTATACACACACACACACTAACACACACACATACATACACACACACACACACTAACACATACACACACAAATACACACACACAGAGACACACACACAAACACACACACAAACACAAACACACACACACACACACACACACACACACACCACAACCGTCTAACATGTCTGTTTGTTTTAACCAGGCAATTTTCTCACAGAGAGCAGATGTGGTAATTAGGCAGTTGTACCGGTTTTCCAACAAACATCACAGGACCATCTCAGTATCCATATTCATCTCGTCTTCGCCTGCTTAAATCATCTTCATATCCTGCTTATATCAGTATCAAGCTGCATTTTAAGAAGCCAGAAGCGTGATCTTTACTACAACTATCTAAGGTAATATTTGTCATCTGCACTGGGTTTGCTACTCCGCCAAGATCGTACATCTTATATGTTCTTTCAGTGTGCTGACAGAGTACATTTGTTTGGCAACAAAAAACTGTCATCTGCAATTTCTTAACTGCTAGACTTTGAGACTATCTATATAGAATAAAACACTCAAGTGTTGCTGTTAAACCCATCTGTTAAAGGTAAGAATTCTCGATAGAATTGTAGACTTAAACGTCGTCTGGTACAAACAAAAAAAGTACCCTAGAGATGAGCGTTCTGTGACCTTTCCTCTCGTAACAGTTGATGAAACGACACGATGAAGTTGTCTGTCTGTCTGCTGATTTCTGTCACGCTTGTTGTGGCCGCCATGATTGACAACTCAGAGACCAGAATGGTCCGGAAGCGTCCCGCACAAAAGAGGGATTTAACCGGTACGTATCATGTAGAATCTCTGTCGGTAGAGATATATTTTTACATTTCATCCACACTATGGGTGAAATGTATTGTAATGTTTCTCCTTCTCCTGCCGTTTTCTTTCGGTAAATGGATTAAATATCTTCATTTTTGGACTAAGTGACCTGAAATTTGGTATGGAGGTAAAGAGGTCAAACACCCTCCGATGTTTTTTTTTTTCTTCATTTTTTGGATGTATAAATTTTAAAATGGTTTTATTAGGGTTTTTACCATATATGGTCATGCATGACCATATTTAGCACAAGTGGCATGCATGACCATATTTGGCACACATGACCTACTTTCTCATCAGGCGGGAGATGAGAAAGTCGGTCAGAAAGTAGGTTTAAATCCTTGCTGATTGGCTTCTGGGATAATGTGATCAAACTTATGATAATCAAACAGATACAGTGTTCTATGGAACGACAACAAGCAAATGCAGGACGGTATGGATTGGATAGTGAATAGAAAAACTTGGAACGAGGAACAAGAATGGGTGAAATGTGCTATATTTGCTCCTGAGCAAATGTTGGCCTTTCTAGTCTTTGTTTTTTTCTTCATAGAGTTGTAGAATCTTTCAATGTGACAGTAAGGCCGTGTCTATACGGAATCACCCAAGGCGGTTTACATGTGGTTTACCCCGAAGCCGGTTTCAAGTGGCTCCATCTGAACGCTCCGAAATCACATTGAAAGCGCCTCGATCCCAAGCCACTTCTAGAGGTGGTTTCAAATCGGTTTCCCCGCATCGCGATTTGCGTCTGAACGCAATGTGATTTCAATGTGACTTCGCCTGGTCATGGATTACGGAGTGATATTTCCTTTTTTATATGCAATACCAACTTTTACGTGGCAGCAACTTAAAGAGCAGTAATGGTCAAATAATGTGTCCGTTCTAGGGCGAGCTTCACCGCCTCTGGCGGGACCACGTCGGCATTCGGTCGAGATATACGCTGGGAGGGGGGCATCAGCAAGCAGGTCGTTGACCTCTGACATTAATAACACGCCGCCTTGCGTGTTATCATCAAACAGCAATAAATGTAGCTCAAGCGCATTATGTTCGGACACGGTTTCGCAGGTGTGTGTGGCACGTGGACCAGATGTCAGGAATGTGAGTTTCCCGAATCGCGGTTTGGGTGATTCCGTATAGACACGGCCTAAGTTAGGCTTAATTAAGCCCCACCCCCCCTTTCCCCAAGGCCTTTAATTTTCTATTGAATGCATTATCTGTCGAGAGGACAATGCTTAGGCAGAATCAGTGAGAATTTTACAAAATGATTTCAATGATTGGATTTCTTTTTTTTTTTTAGAAGAAGAAACGAGGGAGGCCTTGGAGCATTCGAAGTCACTCCTGGAGATACTTGATGAGAAGGATGAAAAATTAGCCACACGGGAGCTTAAGTTGGGCTTAAAGTAGGGGGGATGGTGTGAATTTACATACCAATGGCAAAAAAATTCACTACCCGGAAAAATATGGCGGTGTTAGAATACGCGGTGGTATTTTAAGACTTGACGACATAAATGGAAATTTGATATGCTATATTTATATGGACCTTAATTCCAATCCTGTCCGTAGCTCTTGGCTCTATACGAAAGGCGTTACCAAATAACATCACCTTGATAGATAAAACCCACCAGCAAACCTATACTGCAACCTAGCATGCATGCAAAGCATATCATTGATAACTCGGCTGTCAATCACAATTAGCAGATTAACCAATGATGGTGTGGAAATTAGTGGTTTGACAAATAAACGAGTTGCTGCGTGCCTATCAATGTTTGCATTTTTATGTTTTCATTTTTAGTTACTTCATATAGATCAACGGAGGTAGAAGGAGCTATAAGATCGGTTTAGTATGTACAGTCTTCTGTATCTGTATCTGTTTAGTATAGCCAGTATAACCGCCCTGCGGCGTAACACACCAGCTAGACAGGCACGCGGCGCGGCGGCAGCTGGCTTTATCACAACGAACGACTTGTTACACTCAATCTTTGCACATTTAATTGCAGGAGTTGTTTAAAGCTTTCTAGTAATAATGCCCCAACTGTGCTTGGTGGAAACGAGTTCCAGTCCACGATAGTTCTGGGGAAATACGAGTTTAGAATAGCAACACACGCTAAATTTGCTTTTAAGGGCATTATGATCGTTTCGGCAGTAGAATGACCATCGTCTGTTCCACGATGAATAATTTACGCCCGTGATAATGTTTCGCCTCGGGGCTTTAAACACATCGACTGTAGCGTGGTATCCAGTCGTATCGTGGTAGGGGCGGTTTTTCCTCGGGGCTGCAGGTGCTCTTTCCCCGCCCGGCTCAACTAGGTTTCCCGGTAGGTATTTCACGATGGGAGATTGGTATTCGTGGTGGGGCAAATCAACTCCCCTGGCGTGCCATCTTTATTAGCGTAACGGATCCTACCGGGCGGCCTGTAGGTACTGGGCGGGGGAAAACTATTAGAGCCCCGAAGACACAGCCTGCCCCAGCTACCATGCCCCAGCCACAATTGACTGGATACCGGGCTACATCGACTGTCGATAGCAGCAGAAATGCTATTACAAAAAAAGAAGAAATATGGCGTCAAATACCCTGATTACAAACTACCTGTCAGGTAAATATTGAGGACAATGCGTCGTTACCAGGCATGCGGCCTGCTCATGAATAATGAATGAAGACCTTTATTGTACACACATACCCACTGGGTTAAGTACAGGTCACAAAAAAGGATGGAATACAGATAACGTTACATACATACATCGTCAAGTAGCTACAATCAAGTAAATTCGGTTTCTTCTCGTTTCTTAGTATAATGGCAAAAATGTAAGAACAGATATGTTTCAATGCAGAAGGTTTGTCTAAGCTCATTAGAAATATAAATTTATCTGTACAGCTTAGATGTATGAGGAAGGGGAACATAGATTGTATCAGATTATAAAGATCTAGTCTCTCTTTGTGGTATAGTTTACATTCTGTTACAAAATGTTTATCATCTTCGATTCTTCCTAGATCACAGTACCGACATATTCGTTGTTCTAGGGTAGTGCAGTTACATGTGTATGTCTACCGGTTTCGATGTGTAATTTGTGGCACCTAATTCGGAGTTTTGTGACGGCAGTTCTGTGCCGTAGATTATCAATATTCAGGTACTGTTCTTCAGTATAGGTGGATTTGAAAATTCTGTAGGACCTCAGCTTGTTTTTGGTAATAATATATGCGGTGGCCTTTGCTGTATCATGGCCACTGAGATATGCTACGTTGTGAAAGGTGATTGGCCCATCTTCTGTTTGGGGCGAAAATAAACATTAATTTGAATATCATCGTTACCACAGTTCTTTTAAAACAGTATTCCTTTATCGATGAAACTGGTGTATCGTTCAGTGATCACTACCAAAACAGTTCCTTAAATTTGTATCTTTATTGAATGAATGAAGACCTTTATTGTACACACATACCCACTGGGTTAAGTACGGGTCACAGTAAAAGAATGGAATACAGATAACGTTACATATATACATCGTCAAGTAACTACTATTAAGTAAATTAAGTAAATTTGGTTTCTTCTTGTTTCTTAGTAATGGCAAAACGGTAAGAACAGGTATGTTTCAATAATCATGCAAAGAAATAAGATCTTGAATACGTGTGTATTGGTTCTATGTATTTGTTTTGTGTAATAATTACTTGCACGTGAACCACTGTGTTGTATTGTAACAGCCCCAGTCAGCTGCATACCATCAACATTAACAAGCTGTTGCATTTTGCACGGAAGACTCAGAAATGGTGGGATACAGTATCGGCCCTGTGGGATGCTATTAGGCTTACGATAAGCACTTAGGATATCTAGCAGTGCTGAGACATTCACTTAAGGTCCTAGATCGTCTTCGAAGACTTACTAGTAAAGGTGAGTTGTGTATTTTTCTGACGATTTTCTTTTAAGGTCTCATTGAAAAATATTTACAGTGTGGAGATATGTAAACATTGTTTATCATTCAAGCTTAGCGTGATAAATAGAAAAAAAAATATACATGTACTAGTTGAGGTGATTCCTAATATGCTTTGCTTACGAATTGCATATTAGTAATGGTATTTTTTAATCTGGAAAAAGGAAATATAACAATAATTATTGAGTCTAAATTTTCTTCAAGGCCCTCCTAACGTAAAAGAACTGCATGTAAAAAAAGTACCAGGTCAATATTTATTTATTTTTATTTATTAATTTATATATTTATTACTATTCACCTTATAGCCATGTATATGGAAGACATGGTGGACCTAAGTGCGCCTTTTCAAGGCCGCCATGCCGACAATATAATATACATACGCGGATGCATTGTTGGTATAACCTTAATACGCAGGGTGTGGCCGATGAATGCAACCGGTTGTGTTTTTTTGTATCGCCCACCCCCACCCCTCTCCTTCAAAACATTACAACCCAAATGTCAAAACATAATCAATTATTCCGTAAATAATTTCATCAGGTTCGTAAACGAATGAATAGCAAAGTTCCTTGATCACAACCATTTATTTTTCACGAGTGCACTGTGAACCATGTAACCCCTCTAGTGCACTATGCACCAAATAACAGTCTAGCGTCAGTGCACAGCAAACCAGTCAGAATTGCCCTGATGAAGATGTCAGACGGTCATCGAAACGTCGGCTCGTGAAAAAATAAATTGTTGTGATCAAAGAACTTTGCTATTCATAATCAATTATTAGTTTTTACATTTTGTTATGAAAGCAACCTGTTGATACACTACGGAATAAATGCAGCGTGTGGGCTACACTCGCCGTAGGTTGGTGAAATTCTGGTGCAGTAAAATAATCTAGCAAACTGTACCAGAGCTAACAACCTACAACATGTAAAATTTAAGATTTTATACCTCCGGGCTTTTTATTGTATATTTTTATATAGGGTTTTAAGCAAAGAATTTATCGAGACCGGATACCCCTCTGTGTGAGGGGTCATATACGTGGACCAGACCGAGAATAGCTTAAACACGACAAGGGTCATCGGTCGCGACCACTTTCACACTCAAAGGGGTGTTCTGGGGCCACCAAAAGGCACCATTTTCACGCCCGAAAACACATATACAATAAAAACAAAAGATGCATCATCTGCAGCCCAACAGCAAAACATATACCGAGTCTCAAAAGAATTCGTCGTGGGAAACAGCTGCGAACATGAAAATCTAAATCTCTCACAAAACCCTTCCGCGGAAGGATGTCTCCTCCCCCGAAGCTAACAACCTACAATAATCTAAGACAGCCGTTTTAAGACCGCCTTTCTTTAAATTAAAAACGTATTCTACAAAATTTTGATACCTTCCACTTCGAAAACCTACAGAGCAATTGGAAGGAAATGATACTTAGTAAGGTTAAAAACACTTTGAATACAACACCAGGTTAGGCAACTGAAATTGAATCGCACTAAAGAATTCCCAGAAGTGCTATCTGTATGTATGCGTTTTATCATTAGGCCACAGCAAGTAAATTTTATGGATGGCATCCTCCACAGACTCCAAATCTAATGCGAGTGGGCAAAAAAACAAGGCGGGCCGAAAAAAAAAACAAGATTACTACATTTTAAAATTTTGACTCAATCATTGTACAAATGGTTTTGATTCATTGGGAACATCACATATACACAGCCAACATCACATATCACTGCATCAAAACATTAAATCAGAGCCTTTTCTTGTCTCCTCTCTTTATAGTTATCTGTCATACACCTTCCGGCTTGTCAACAGACATCTTTGCCCATTTTCGGCATGTTGACCACTGTCAGAGGGCAACAAAATTTCTCTTTTTCTTTTTTTCCGAAATCAGGCGAAAATTAATGCGCGCGCTGATGTCATCCAAAAAAATTACTTGCTGCGGCCTTACATACAGGGTATGTCAATATAACTATTGTTGGGGATAATGTGTATTATCATACGCTTTAAAAAGAGGGAAAAAATCTTCAAGACCTAGATTAGTTTATTCTCTAGTAGTTGTTAAGATTTTTTTTGGTTATTCTGTTATCATTGTATCCTATGTATCATGTTACTCAGTATGATGTACATGTAACATCACACTCTGATGTATGCATTTAGCCCCATAGGCATGAACATGCAAACAGAGATTCATTATATTAGGCCACACCAAGTAAATTTTATGGATGACGTCTTTTGGACACCCTAATTCTAATGCGAGAGGGCGAAAAAAAACAAGAAGGGCCCTAATAAACAAGATGCCTAGATTAGAAATATACTAAGAGACGACGAATGTTAGGACACAAATTGAATGAGGTGAATTGAATGTGAGGTGAGGTGAGAGGGATTGAATCAAAACAGCAATAAATCAGGTGGAATAGCAGTTGTCGTTCTGTCCTGTTTCTTTCATCACATTTTTGCAGGCCTGCAGAAACAAAGCATGTGCTCTTTACCCATTTCACGTTACGGGTTTCACGTCAATCTAACGATTTGCGGCACTGTCGTGACTCTTTGGTCATAGTTACAGGAAGCGGAATTTCTTGTTTGTTTTTTCTAGGAACTGGCCAAAATCAATGCGCGCGCGGACGTCATCCATAAAATTTACTTGGTGTGGCCTTATGACACCCTCCACCATTGTACATACGGATTTGTAAGTTAAATAAAACGGGATAAGAGTAGGTTTGGTGTAGTTTTATCAAGTTACCAGTTTACTATGCAGACGATCGTAAATTGGACTGCGACCCGAACAGCGTGGTTAGATAAATAATAGATGAGGTCTTTGGATGATATGTTCTCTTTCAATTGTAAGCTTAAGGGTGACACGCCACCCATTGGGGGGTTTTCAGTAACAACAAACGTGTAATTTGTTATACATAGATACCATTATACTGGTACGGGAGAATTGATGTTACAAGGATAGAGTGCAAATAAAGAAGCTGGGAACAAGATGGGTCGAAAAAATACTGTATATATGCTGGCGTCACATAGCAAACAAAATAGCCCGCACGAAGAGTGTAAAGCTCTGAAAGACATTTTGTTGCCAACAATAATAAACTGGTGGCCGTACAAACTACTAAGTACATAATACCAGCCCAGAAAATAACAAGAGACAGCCATGCATTCAAATACCAGAGTTATCAACCAAGGATTGAGGTGTTCAAAAATTCATTATTTCCTATAACAATCGCAGAGTACTAGTGGAACTAGATATGGCGTCGGGTGGTGTAGTGGATAGAGCAATCGACTATGAACCGGGAGACCCGGGTTCGATTCCGAGTCGTACCCGGTACATGTCTGAACATGCGCCCCGACGTTGTGCCCTTGGGAAAGGCACTTTACACGACTTTCCTCACTCCACCCAGGTGTGAATGGGTACCTAACTTCGGTTGGGGAAAGTCGTATTGAGGTCACATTGTGGCGCCGAATGGCAGCCGCACAGACCCTTGCGACAAATATGTGTATCATGTGTATTATTTGATTGTTGTAATTGTTGTGATTTGTATTGATTATGTAATACCCTGCATCAATTCAGCCGTATACAGGCTGCGACTGCACGGGTACTGTTTGGACAATAAAAAAAAACTCGCTGTCACCAAGTACTGTACATGTAGGGGCATTGTCATTAATTTGGAAAGCTTTAAACAATGTACAGAATAAGATGTCCAAAGGTTAGGTGTAACAAGTCGTTCGGTGTAATATAGCCAGCTGCCGCCGCGCCGCGTGCGCCTGCGAAGCTGGTGTGTTACGCCGAATGGCGGTTATACCGGCTATACAGATACAGATACAGAATAAGGCCGGTGTCCTCTCTGACAAGATGCCCTAGAAATCAGCCCATGCATGTTTGCAGGTCCCCGAGCCTCATACAATGTAACAGGCTAGCCTTCCAGGGCGACAAATACCCTGGATTCCCTGGGGATGTTGAAATTCAGTGACATTCTAGTTTCTTTGTTGTTTGTTTGTTCGTTTGTTTGTTTAAATGCAACAGTGCATAACAAGTGGCAACCAGGCAGCAACAAGGCTGGTAGTGGCTACCACTGACACATAAGCGCATAAATACAAGGCATATCAAAATACAATATTACTTAGTACATACAAATTCAATTCAATATTATACAATAGCAATATACATACAAAGCACATACAAATTCAATCAATACAGAAGCAATACAATACAAATCGATAAAATGATCAAAGTTGAAATGGAAGGATTTTTATTTTTAATTTCAATTCTAGCTATCCATGCATTTGGCTAAAAGTCATTGACAGTTTTGCGCTTTTTTTTCTAGTGGTATGCATGACATTTAGGGTTGCAAGTAGTGAGTCCTCGTGGATGTTTCACTGGTCGTGCGTTCCATGTCATCTCCCCAGACGTCTCATTACGGACAGTTATTCCCAAGGGTTTAATAACTTCATTATTTATTATATCTCTGAATTATGTTGCCCTCATATAGTGGTCCTTCCCGGTATGAGTGGATCAGAACTATTCTGTTCTGATAAAGAAGAAGTGTGGCCTTGTGACGACTCAATTCCTTATAAGGCCATGTTGATTTGATTATATGGATGACATCCTCTGGGAGCCCCAAAACTGATGCGCGCGTGCGAATAAAAAAAAAAGTTTTGCAAAAAAAAAGTTGTTTCATTATGAAATTTACGTGGTCATGAAGGTTGAACAAATGGGACAGAATATGGTTTGGCGAATAATCTACTCTTCGAATTCATTTCTTTACAATTTTGTGTTTTTTCGTTTGATTTTGGCATTCTACGACATTGGTATGTTTTTTTTTTTTGTAACTTATGGTATATTTTTGCTCATTTTGCAACTGTTTTGTACGATTTACAGTATGGTTGAAAACTTTTGGGTTTTTTTGGAAACGGACGAAAATTCATGCGCGCGCGGATGTCATCCATATAATCAAATCAACATGGCCTAACAAAAGGGACAAGGGCAATTGTAATGAGCTGGATTTGGGGACATAATCATGTCCTTGGTGCTGAAAATATTTCGCTGACGGAAGTCAATCTTATAGATTATCACTACATTCTAAGCAACGTCAAGGAGTTCATTATAAGATAGTAAAAAAGTATTGGGTTGTATCTTATGAAAGACGTGTTTGCTTTATATTGCATATATATTTGTACACATTTATGATAGTGATTTAATATATACGTTGTAGAGTGTTTACATTTGTCATCTATTCCTGTAAATGCATGGTGGTACTTTCTCTTTAAAACACATCTAGTTTAATGATTCCACTAACTTTATTGCCCTTCTATATGCTTCAGAGCCTTGGGAGGGGGGTACCATAGTTTTGTTACCGTTGTAGTCCAGTCTTTGCAAATGTCAGGCTCAATTTCAACTAGTCAAATTCTAATATTTTAAATTAAAGACTTGGTGACGTGCCAGATCGATTCTTCTGTGCTTCCAATTCCACAACGGCGATAAGTTCAAAGGTCAACCTGTGCAAATCAGCTGACGTTAAGGCCCCACCATCTTAATTTTATGGATGACATCCTCTGAAGACCCTCAAACTAGTGCGCGCGGGCGAATAAAAAAAGCTTCCGGCCAAAAATAAAAATTCTACTAAAGCACATGATTACAAAGCTGGTATTGTGAAATTGCAGCAGTACATAGTGACGTATACGACAAGCCGGTACATGCTGGCTTTTTGTGGAATTTATGAATCGGCACCACTGTACGTATGTACTGAGTTCTTAAGTAGTGGAGCTTCGGTAGCCTGGGTGTCATCTTCTAGAGTTACCACTGCATTGTCGCTAACTACCACGGACAGCCCAGACCTAGCCAGAGTAAGACCAGAGCCTTTTTGAGGCGAAAATCAATGCGCGCGCGCATGTCTTCCATAAAATTACGTCGGTGTGGCCTAACCGCCACCTGGTGTCGTGCCGTCCCTGGCAGTTATGAGCCTTTTGTTTTACCAAATGGCTGCCAATACCGCGACATCCCCAAACGTATCATTTCATTAACCATCCATCCCTTTTTAATCCCACTAAGCAGAGGCAGGCGGAGTAGAAACATGGGCGGCGCGCAGTCCACGGTACAGGAGGGCTTCCACAGCCTGATGGAGCGGCGGGAGGGCGATTCGGCAGCGGGGAGACCCCCCAACCCCATCGGCAGCTTCCGCGTGGGCATCTCGAGGGAGATCGACCAGGATTTCACCGACTACAGCCAGTACGACTTCCCGTTCGAGAACCTGGTGCTAGAGGGTGGTGGAAACAGGGGACTGGCGTATTTCGGAGCTTTACAGGTACGATATACACAGAGAGGCAGATTGACTGATGTATAATCGATAAACAATTCGGCTGGTGCACTGGCGGTCGAGATCGAAAATATGGTATTGTTTATATCCCTGGGCCTACATATATAACATCTGATTGAGCCAAGTAATACTGGTATTCTGACATTATACCAAAAGACTGGTAGTTTGTGCAAAGAGAAACTTTGAAATCAGACATATATCTTTATAAAGGCTGTAACGTACTGTTAACAATGATTTTCATATTACCACTTTGGGTACGAGTAGATGAACTCATATATAAACCCAAATAAGCAGGCCATATACACCTATATTACATATTGATGACATGAAGGACAATGGCAAATTAAAAAAAAAAGATCAAACACTCAAAGGCGTGCTGATGAAAAGCGTATACCCTTATCCTATATGCAATAATTAACAATATCATAAATCTAAATTGCAACATTGATAAAGACTGGAATATCTAATTAATCAAAGACGCTTATTAAAACTATATATGTATACATACTGTTTTGATGGATATGTTAAGTCATTCAATGTAATTTCCCAAACGTCCTATGTAATTACTATACCTGTTTCAGGGCTCGAAATTCATTTTTTGGAATAGGTGCACTGGTGCACCCAACCTAAAAAATTGAGTGCAAAAAATATTTTTGGTGCACCATGTAGGAAAAAAAATGTCAAAAACTATAATTATGTTTCATTTCAAGAAAAGTACTATAACAGTGATTGTATTATTTTTTCTGACACTTAGATGTTAAGAATATGAAAAAAGTGAAGTAGGAGCATCCTATTTTTTTTTAAAGAATATGCTGTAACTACTACACATTTAACATCTTTACATATGTTAAACCTAAGAAAATATTTGGGTGCACTGGTGCAACCACAGAAAAAAACATTGGGTGCACAGCTCCAAATTTGGGTGCACTAAGGTGCAGATGCACCCAGTATTTCGAGCCCTGTGTTTGAAATGTTGACCCAGATTCCAAAATGTATTAATGACGGTAGGTAGTATTTATGAGGTTGCGTAGTGCCCCAAAGGGTTTTAATACTAACCTACAACAGGATCCAAATGGATGTGCATAGTAGAATTTACCCAAAATAGGTTCAATAATTGGTTATGGGAGAAAGCCATAGGAAGGCCATGATTTGATAACTTTTAAGAGTTTATGTTGATTTTTTGGCACAAAGGGAGGCACCGGAAGCAACACCTCTTTAGTTGAAGGTAAGGCCACACCAATTTAATTTGTTGTTTCTCGGATTCGCCCTGTCCATTTTTTCTGATATGCCAAAAAATATATTTTTTTGGTTCGAAATCAACTTCAAATTGCTCAATAAAAGACATATTTTGGCCCCAACGGTTGAAGAAATTCCTTTCCTGCCTAATTGTTAAAGTTGTTCAATGTAACAGTGCAATTTTGTTTCATTAAATGTTCAAAATCTATTGTTTTAATTATATAAACCAGCCTGGTATGTTCACTTCATGGCTCATATTGTAACATTTCCGTCTATAATGCGGTACCTTGGCCTGTTTTTTTCACCCTGTCACTCCATATTTTATTCTGAAAAAATCCGAGAAACAACAAATTGAATCGGTGTAGCCTAACAGCCAATTCCACTATTCTGTTATGTCGGTGAAGGTTAGGCAACCAGGTAAAAAGATACGCCAAAAACAGTTACTCATTGCGGCAACGAGATATTATTTTGGAAACTGTCAGACGTTTCAGGTAGCATCCACTACCTTTCGTCAGTGACACTAGAGACTTGCAAGAGAAAGGCAGTGGATGGTACCTGAAACGTCTGACCGTTTTCAAAATCATATCCAATTGCTTGAGTAACTGGTTTTTTTTGGTGCCCTACACTACCAAAGATGCTTTTTCTTGTTTTTCTTATTGTCATGGGAAGGAAAATTTTCTTTGGGGGAGAATAATAAGAGAGAAAAATAAGAAAAAAAAATTCTTTATACCTACGTTCTTGCACCAAGAACAATATTCTCATTTTTCTTAAGAGGAGATAATTTTTCTAGAATAGGCATCTTGATTTTTCATCAGTAAAGAAATATTCTGTTACTCTTTTCCCTCTACTCTATTACTCTTTACCGTGTTCAACGCCATTTATATTGCTTGCCGCCAAAAGCTGAATAATATCACGGTGTCAAGAACCCTGATTGCAAAAATGGAGGGCACCATATGCTACGGTTTATACGGGCCTAGAACCTACATAACTCTTTATTTGCTGTGTGTTGTAGTTATGTGTAGTATTCGATAAAATACAGCCCTTCGTTATTATGGCTTCACCACAATGTGGTGAAGACATATTGTGTTCCCTCATGTTTCTTTTTCTCCTCCTTCTCCTGCCATTTCTTTAAATGGATTCATCTCTGCCATTTTCCGGCCAAATAACACGAAATTTGGCATGAAGGTAGAGTGGGCAAATACCCCGATGCGGTTTTTTCATTTTTTTGAAAAATTGTTTTATTTGCTTTTTTTGGCCATTTTCAGGCAAAAAATATACATTTTGAGATCTGGTTCCCAGGTACTAAAACCAAATGACCTGAAATTTGGTATGGGGATACCTTGGACATATGTCTACAAAAAGCCATTCAAGCTTTTGACATACACCACTTTAAAATTGGGAAAAATAAGGCTTTTTGGCTATTTTCGGACCAAAAATGTACATTTTTGGCTCCTGTGCCCTAATATTAAATCCGAATGACCTGAAATTTGGTATGGGAATACCTTGGACACATGTCCAAAGAATGTCATTCACGATTTTGACATACACCACTTTAAAGTTATGTAAAATAGGGCTTTTTGGCTATTTCCGGCATTGGAAGGTTCCATTTCTGCATGGGGGTGTAGACTATTGGCAGCCATCGTAGGATAGATCCATTTTCGGTATGGGGGATAGGGTGAAGCCATCTGCTGCATTTGCTCTCAAGCAAATGTCGGCCTTTCTAGTTTTTTTTAGCTTTTACGCGTATTAACATGCCATTACTGCAATGCTTTGGCGAAAGGCTGTTCAGCAAAATGGGGGCCTGTTAGGGGGGGGGGTGATAGTAATTACGAATTGCGCAAAATTTTCGCCCCGATTACGAGTTACGTTATTAAATTCTCAGAGCAGGTTACGACTTTACGCTTTGCCGCTAATGTACTGATTACGAATTGCGGCGATTTTTGGGGGAGGCTGCCTACGGATTACGAGGCCCGATTACGCCTTCCGAAAAAGGCCATGCAACCGTAACCACCCAAATGCGATTGGTAACAGATTTGGATTCGGTAGCGAGAAAGAAATATAATTCCTTTTATACCAAAACAATTATAGATAATCACTGAGGATACCGTGATGATTGTGGAACCTCATTGATTTCTAATGGCAGAGTACAGCTAAGCCATAAAAAGGATTTACATAATATAAGTATTGCGTTGACTGCAGAAATTGAATACCTCAACAATTGCATGCCACATTTAAGTCAAACTTGGTTAGTATAAAGGTAACTCGCTACTAAAATTTAATTTGCAAGAAAAAGGACATCTGATATTTTCTCAGGCTGCAGTGATTTAGTAACTTTATTAATTATCAGGCCACACCGACTTAATTTTATGGATGACAACCGCGCGCGCATTGATTTTTGCCTGTTCTCAAAAAAAAAGATCGCGTCTGGCCTGGCTGTAGGCTTGGGTAGTCCATGGTAGTTAGCTACAATACGGAGCCGGTGGTAACAATGGAGGATGGCACCGATGGCACCAAAGCTCCACGGCTCAACAACTCAGTACATACGTGCCGATTCATGTATTCCACAAAAAAACATCATGTGCCGGCTTGTCGTATACGTTGCTATGTACTGCTGCAAATTCACAATACCAGCTTTGTATTCCTGTGGTTAAGTAGCATTTTTATTTTTGGCCTAATTTTTTTATTGGCCCGCGCGCACTAGTTTGGGGGTTTTCAAAGGATGTCATCCATAAAATTAAGATGGTGTGGCCTTATAATCTATGCAGACAAAAATGCATTAAAATCAGGTCGCAAATACGATAAAAATTACAATCGACGTATCTAAATCCCGATGAACAGGAACATTATTAGTATCCAAAATCTAAACTCCTTAGTATAATTTTGTCAAAACGGACAGTACAAATTCAATCCAGGCCATGCACTGCCATTTAAAACGATAATCTTACAATACAATAAAATATTTACGATGTTCATACAGATTTCAAGGTTTAGAAAAATCACACTCAAAATCTTACTTGGAATTTTAGAATGTTGATTGGCACTTGTAATACACACATGCGTTGTGACGATAATAAAGATTAGATAACGTAAGATGGAAGACCCTTTCGATGGCCCCAAAGTGATGGTATTTGTTACGTTATACGGACACGCGGCACAGAACTTCTTAGGCCTAATGTTGTGTTTCCTGTCACCAGACTGATCCTGTATCTTGCTAGCCTCTTTTGGGAGGATCGACCACTGGCAAAGGCCAAAGTTCGATCTTATATCTGAATTTCAAATGATTGTTCTTGCATTTCACACTGTATTTGAAATTATGTGCCCTATGTGTTTTGTCCTTATATGTTGACTCTCTAATATCAGCTTTGCTGCCTTTAGAGTCAGTGTAATGTCTTGTTGCAGTTTTCAATAGATAAATAAATAAATAAATAAAATAAATTTCAAATCCTCTGAAACGTTATTTGGCACATTTTCAGAGACAGTTTTTATGAAGTAAATCGAGTGAAATATTTTTGTCTCTGTCCAGCAAGCAACGGGGGGACTGGTACAGGAGACAGCATTGGTCCTTGAGCAGCTTTCAATTTTTTTAATTATTATTGTTGGAATTGTTCAGCAAAAATCCATAAAATAACAAAATCCCTACCAAACGACCCTTTTTTTCAGATCCTTAACCGGTAACACGACATTTGTTTTTTGCTAGGCCGCGCAAATACAATGAGGTTAAGGCTGTATCCAATGAGAGGCGGTTGAAGATATTGATCGGGCAATTGTATATGTATGCAACTTCATGGTTTTAATTATGATGATAGTTGTTATGTTGAAATATTTTAGTAATGGTAATATCATTTTTACACTTGGCCGATAATTTGCTCGTTCGATGATTTATTAGTACCTTGTCTGACGTGTGACCTCAACGTGTATGCAAATTTGTAGTCATATGTGTATATTTGTACTGTGTGTGTAATGTGGAATGTGGAATGAGCCCTGGAAGATTAGCCCTAACGGCCCGGGCTAAAGGGTATCGTAATAAACTGAAGTGAATAATACATAATCATTGGGTTTATCTGGCGCGCTATAAGGTTCTTAGGCATTCGTGTCAATAGAATCGACACGAACAATAAATTTGCATCCCGTAATCGTGAATTCATCCGTTCCTGTGAGACATTCTGGTCCATTTACGACTGAATACTTCGCGTTTAGTAGAAAATCTTTACAGAACAGTTTAAAGGATTCTAACTCGCCCAGTACATTACGTTTCACAGGGAGTAGACAGTGAATAGAGGGTCGTATTGATTTTAACCAACCCGTAGAGCTATGATCTTCCTGATCTTATATCGTATTGGCATCTGCATGGAGGGCCAAAATGTATTCAATATTTAAGTGTATTTAAGTCGATAGAGTCTGACATATAAGCAATCTCTATGTCAATATATTGGTTTGCTGTGTTTCTAAGTACTAAATATAGAACATATATCTTGTACCTATTTTGTGTTAATTTGTTTGCTTGTCCCTTAATACATTGCAAGTTAAATGTAAATGTAATAAATGTATGTAAATAAGAGATTGTAAAATTAATAGGATTTGGGAGAGTCCACTGGACAAACCTTTAGGTTTCTTGGGCTCTCCAGCATATATTTGCTTGTATATAATTTCATTTTATACTGTTATTTTTTTATGTGCAAATGACAATAAAAAAATAAAACAAAACAAATATTTAGCACTGCCAAGTCGAAATTTAAAAAGCCTACAGATCAACAACAGAAACAATTAATTTCTCTCTAGTACATTGTACTTTGTAAATCCGTGCATTTATCCCCCCGGGGAATGAACATGCAATAAAGTTTCAGTTATTCGTTTTAGCACCTACATGGTTGCTGAGAGAGAATAGGTGATCACGCATACGTTATCACATATTGATTTTTACATATGGCCTGGTGGTGTTCGATTGAAAGACATTTTGTCCCCAACATATTTCTTTTTTTATCAAATTTACATGTCGTACCTTTGGAGAATTTTCTTCCAATTTCAGTGTTATGAATATATGTGAGATAGTAGCGATGCTAGAAGCTACCCATTTGTCTTATGCTATGACTCTTTTAATCACTATTATTAGCATTTCGACTTTTCCCTTTTGCTTGCCTATACCATGGATGTTTTTTTTTACCTCCATGCTTATACTTCTTCTAAATTTGCGTCACTCGTAACTAAGCAATAGCCAGTTCAAACTTGTAGCAAAGACTCTGACGAAAATGTAAAATATTATATTATTCCAGATCCGAATTGATATACATCGATACGGTATCCCCACCTGCCTCAATTAATTACCGTCGTAATCAATCTACATGGCCGTCTTAAAAATAATGGCCGATCCTGCTCTAATGTAAACAATAGTCAGTTCAAATTTGCGGCAACGAAGAAAATGTTAAATATTATATTATTCCAGATCCAAGTTGATATACATCGATGAGTAGTGTCCCCACCTGCTACAATATATTACCGTCGTCATCAATTAACATGGTCGTCTTGAAAATAATGGTCGTCCCCGGTCGAATATAAACAATAGTCATTTCAAACCTGTGGCAACAACTCTGAACAAAATGTGAAATATTATATTATTCTAGTCCCAAGTTGATATACTAGTACATCGAAGAGCGATGTCCCCACCTGCTTCAATGAATTACCGTCGTAATCAATCAACATGGCCGTCTTGAAAATAATGTCCGATCCTGTTGTAACATAAACAATAGATAGTTCAAACCTGTGGCAACGACTCTGACGAAAATGTGAAATATTATATTATTCCTGATCCAAGTTGATATACATCGATGAGCAGTGTCCCCACCTGCTACAATATATTACCGTCGTCATCAATCAACATGGCCGTCTTGAAAATAATGGCCGTCCCCGGTCTAATAGCACGGGTCATTGAGCAATGGCAGAATGGTGTCAGGCGGAATAATCCTGGCTTCAGCTGATTTCACAGACTGAATTGTGTCACTGAGGAATAATTAAGAAGAAGTTTTATTGTAAATTCGTGCCCGTAGGCTAATTGCAAATCATAAACATACAACAGTATTGAAACAGATTATATTGTTATACAATAGTATCTACATGATGAAAAGTAGTTGACTAAAACTATAGCTATGTCTGAAGGGTTTGACTTCTCTTTTGTAAACCATGGAAGACGTAATGTCCCACCTTTTCTAAAATTTGTGGGTTTTGGGAAGTTAACAGAAAAATAGTTTTTTCTTTGTCTGTAAGTTTAGTAAAATTGGGATAAATTGTAGAAGTTTGAATAGTCAGCTCATTTCGAGCGTTGTTATAAAATGAACAATTTGAGATAAAGTGTAGAAGAATAATAGCAATAAAGCCAACAACCATCACGATAGCTAAAATAAAACGTATGGCCACTACAAGTCTGTCGTTTGGTCCATGCTATACTAATAGCAGTGGCTTTTACAAACTAAAAAAAGAAAAATAAACACCCGAATACAACAGAAAACAGAATCAAAGATCTCATACCCCGGTGATTAGATTTTCTCAATTTCCTTTCTTCCTTATATATCGTGATTTGATCATCGATTCTTTCTATGCATTTTCCTAGTATACAATTGAAGGAAATACAATAACGCTTACTGGGACATATAGCATAACCTAACATCCTTGGAATGCATTTACATCTAGCATTTATATTCCTGTTAGCCTTTGATAAACCAAATCTAACTAATCATACAGCCCCGCACATTTATACAATCACTAAGAAGCGAGAGGAAGTTGAAAAGACTAGAATACATTAGGGGTTTATGTATACATGCAACAGTTATATGTTTATGTATTCGTACATGTATATGCATACATTGTAATCTTGACCTGTAATCGTAAGACCTGTGCCCAATGGGGCAGAAAATCAAAAAAATAAAGGTCTTATGAAGAAGTTAAACTTTTCTCCAACTCAAAATTTGACTCACCGGAATTTTCGACTGAATCACTCAGTCTTCCTCAGCAATCTGACGTGATTTTTCCCACATGTGACGTCAGCAAAGGGTCAAAAGTTGTCTGAAGTCGATATCGCCCCCCGTGGGAAAATCACGTGTCCACAGCATTTGGGTCAGATAGCTGAGGAAGACTGAGTGATTCAGTCGAAAATTCCGGTGAGTCAAATTTTGAGTTGGAGAACAGTTTAACTTCTTCATTATGTAATTTACCAACTCAGATGAACTTTCATGCTGAAATAAAGGTCTTCATTCATTCATTCTTAATCGTTCTTTAATAGGTTCTTGAAGAAGCGGGTATATGGAAGAACATCAGACGTTTCTCCGGTACCAGTGCTGGCGCCATCACCGCCACTTTCCTCGCTATCGGCATGAGTACATCAGAGGCCAAGGACTACGTCGATCAGGACATGCGGAAAGTCTTCATAGGTACGTCATAAAGTAAACAAGACTGGCAATGAAAACACACATTGCCATGGCGACGGTGGTTGCTGTTTGGGGTATGGTTGGCATGGCACTGCCATCATTTCATGATTTTGAGGAAGACTTGGTATATGTTAAGTCTAGACAGATACAGTGCACTCCTCCCCTGAGTGTATAGTGAACGAGCCCCGGGGTCACAGAAAGTAGGGCCATCTTGGCAGAGAGGTCTTCCCAAGGGTTTCCAGGAATGTGTGCATAAATGTGGTTCAGAGAAATGCCTGTGGACATTCCATTCCTGTGGACAAAATGCCTGTACCATTCCTAGAATTCTTGCAAACTTCACACAATACGGCTCCTTCCTGAGACGTCGCCAAAATTTCATGTAAACTATGTAAAGTCTAGGTGGTCCCGTTTCAAGTATTAATTTTAACCAATTGCTTTCTGTGTATATATGCTATTGTGGTATATGAACGTTAAATACATATTATTAGCGTATGTAATATACACTAATTTGATATAAAACAAGAATGTATCATTTTCTAACGCCATAGTGAACAGACCTATGACCTCCTCAATAAAGTGTATCGAGTGGGGATACGTTACCTCTTTATGACGTGTTGTGTAAAAAAAATCAGAACGATGTATTTATTATTCTAGGCACAACGCTTACAGTTACATGTGCTGATGACAATATAATTTTAGCCATCGAAATTGTTAAGTCATATACCTTTGCCTAATACGACACAAAATGGGCCCATATAACTCATAAAGGGGAATTAAGCAAGGCTTTGTGTATTAGTGACGAGTGAAACTTTCATCGGCACATCTAATGTAAGTGTTGTGCCTTGAATGATAAATATATATCACAGTACGAGACAGAGAAGAATTGAAATTACATTTGGTGCAAAGGAGTACTCTGATGGTGACTACCTACCAAAAACGCCGCTACCAGCTACATGTAGATGAAGCACAAAGTGTATATGTTGCAGTAATCATCATCATCATCATCATAGCTTGTTGCAGTAATGATTTGTGCATAGGCCACTGCAAGTACATATTATGGATGGCATCCCACGCAGACTCCAAATCTAATGCAAGCGGGTGAAAAAAAACGAGGCGGGACAAAAAAAAACAAAGTTCCTTCATTTCAAAGTTTGACTCAATCATTGTAGAAATGGTTTTGATTTAGTGGGAACATCACATATACACAATCAACATCACATATCACTGCATCAAAGTAAGAAACAAAACATTAAATCAGAGCCTTTTGCTTGTCTCTCTTTATAGTTATTTGCCATCCACCTTGTGGCATAGGAACAGACATCTTTGCCCATTTTCGGCATGTTGACCACTGTCAGAAGGCAACAAAATTGATTTTTTTTGTAAAACATCAGGCGAAAATTGATGCACGCGCTGATGTCATCCTTACTTGCTGTGTCCTTATTATGTTTACCGAAGGAAAACATATTGTTTTTGCTCAGTTTCTTCCTCTTCTTCTTCTCCAAACAGTGACCTCTGACCTGACCAATGACAAGATTTGTTGACATCTGTTACCATGGTGACTGGTGTTGGGTTACATGATTTTGCAATTTCATGGTCTACTCTGCTCCTGTCACCATATACTAGTAGTACATGTATGTGAATGTGTTTGAGTTAGAATTAACAGAGCAGACCATGTCCAAACTTCAAGGTAAACATTATGCATTTGCTTTGCAAATGTTAGTTCTCTAGTATTGAAATATTATTTTACAGACCACGGCTGTGGATATTTCAGCCTCCTGCCAAACCTGCTATCCGGTTATGGCTGGAATAAAGCGGAATCCTTCATGATCTGGCTGGGAGGGATCCTGAAGGAAAACACTGGCAATGCCGACATCACGTTCCTGGAGGTAAGGCCACACCAATTTGATTTGTTGTTTCTCAGATTTATTTAAAAAAAAACACGAAGCGACAGGGCCAAAAAACGAACAGACATTGGCATTGGCATCCTATGACAGCACCAAATGCTATGGTAGAGGCCATGAATTCAACATACTAGGCTGGTTTGTAATTATTCAAACAATGAATTTCGAAATTCAAACTTTTAATTAAACAATGTACTACATTAGTAGATGGAAAAACTGTAACAACTCTGAAGAGAAGGGAGTACCTTCAACTGTTTCAGCCTCTGAAATGTTTTTTTTTTGCAAATTAGAAAAAAATGAAGCGGATCATTCCATGAACATATCAAATTGGTGTTGCCTAAGTGCTACCATTCTCTTTGATCATCTTTCCTTCACTGACTTGATTATATGGATGACATTCACACATGCCCAACTTTATGTAAAAACCGTTTCAGGCTTCTAGATTAAGATGTAGGCAATATAGTCAAATCGCAATGCCATTTATCACATTCCTTTGTTGGATAACAATGTAATAACTCACAAGTGTAGGATTATCATGCTACATTTGATTCTAAAAGTTTGGTGAAGTGTCCTGAATACCTTCAGGGGCCCCATGTCATTTTGCCGCCATCTCCAAGTAAAATCCATATTACATGAATCGAGCCTAAAGGTTCGTTCATCTGGGAGTTATGCTGCCAGTGCTTTATATTCACATCAAGATTTCTTAAAAGTTAGTTGTTCCCCCAGCGACCCGTTCCCTAATGTGACTTAGCGGAAGGAGGACTAACGTAGCAGCGGTAGATGTCTCTCTAGACCCTGGTAGAGTTTTGTTATGCATAGCCTATCCTTCCAAGCCAAGTCCAATATTCCGTATGTCAAGCAACGACCCTGGAGTACCGGTCTGTGTTGCGTCTATATCTCGCCAACTTTAATTCAACCAGTCGCGTCACCACCTAAGGCCAAAAGGCATCATGGCAACTTTCCCTCTAACTACAGGACGAAGAGTAGAGTAAAACGTTGCGGTTTATTTCAACACACAGATTATACAGAGATCAAATTTTCAAATCTGTCAGGAAGCTCTATCGCGAAATCCGGGTCAAACGGGCGGATTACACTTGGCGCGCAAGGATACCCGGAAGTAAGGTTCGAAGTCAAAATCAATTTTCACTCCAAAATCACTATATTACACTCTCCTCGTGTTGAGGTTTGTTTGTTTGTTTGTTTTGTTTGTTTTTATTTATTTAACCAGGGGGATACATATCGCCCGTGGGGCGCTTTTCAATGAGCCCTGGGCCTGGGGAAGACCCCAAACAAAAACATCAAACTCAAACTAATACAAATAATCAACAAAAGTAACTTATAAAGTTACATAAGTTACTAAATAATACAAAAGCAAGGTAACTTAAGTGGCATACATTGCGCATGAAATCATAATACCAAAATAAGTGAAACAAAAGTGTAGCCTGACCATCATATAACATAGAACCAAGGTAGGACAAGAAAGAAATCAAGATTAAAATCAGGCTTGGAATTTGCATATCAATGATTGCCCAGTACATAAGATTGCTTGAAGGCTGCTAGGGTCCTGGCTGCTTTTAGGTGATGTGGTAGCGTGTTCCACAATACCGCCCCAGACGAAGAAAAGGCACGTCTTCTGTATTCTAGCTTAGTCATTAGCAACTTAAGACCTCCTTGCGCCCTGAGGCGAGTGTTGTGAGTATGCACGTGTGGTTGAATGATATTTCGCGGAGGTAATTTATGAGAAATGTAACCTCAAACTTGGACCCTCAAAACCCTTTCGTGACTTTTTTTACCGCGTACTATCACGGGACCCCGGTCGCCCCCGGTCGCGGAAGAATTGGGATGTGCACCTCTAACATAATGAAACTAGATTCCTATAGGCAATTATATTCTTCAACTAATGCGCAGTTATCTTGAGCCTACGATCGACTATCAAACTGATGCCGTGAATTGTATTATTCCAGTTGTATGAAACGTTCCACACCGAGTTGGCCATCGTGGTGTTTAACCTGAACTACATGACGGAAATGTACTGTCACGTGAAGACCACGCCGGACATGTCCATCAGGAAGGCAGTCCGCATGTCCATGGCCATCCCAGGTATGCGTGTACAACTAACCTAATTCTAATTTGTCCCTTAATTAAACAATTTCATTACCGCAATTATTATCATCTTAGATACCAAAAAGCCCCACCCCCTTCATGGCAACACTTCTGAATGAGCAGGACATATAAGGTTATACTCTATGTCTTTTCTACTCTTTTCAACCCTTTCTTACGTTTACATATATAAATAATAGGTAGTAAACGTTTCTTGCATTTACATATATACATAATAGAAATGTTGTTATAAATTTGAATAATTTGAATCGAGCTGATATAGTACACGAGCGTGCAGTTCCTAACTAATGCATTGCACCAGTTTGTATTATCTTGCATACTTTGACTGTAAATTGTAGTTGTGGTATGTTTTAGTGCAATAACTTTGTTAATTTGTTGTGTAATTTTATATTTTATACATTAGTTATCATATATTGTATAAGTTTATGATAATTTATTTATTATCACCATAATTCAGTCTTAGGACTACACGTACAAGTGTGATATATGTGTATGAAATGACAAATAAACCAATTATGACTAGTGAATAAGTTTTGCAAGACCAAGGCACACTATACTTTCATTCGTGCAGATTTCGATTCTAACCTTTTCACGTTGAAATTTAATCATTTTGATTGTAGTTATGAATTATTATAAATATTCTTATTGTTTTTGTATATTATCAAGAATTTCATATAAGTGCTGTTGGTATTATGGAATAAGCTGACGAGTTATGTATTTTATGTAGGCCTGTTCCAGTGTGTGAAGTTCAAGCAGTTCGAGTTTGAAGATGTTTTCATTGACGGTGGATTTGGGTGTAACTACCCCATCCATTGTTTCGATGGTGAGTGTCAGTATCATTATCTGAAATGCAATCCGTTAAGTTGTCATTATATTCTCATGTACTATTTTGAAAGCTTGTGATATAAAATACTGAGAGAAAGAGAGAGAGAGAGAAAGAGAGAGAGTGATAGAGAGAGAGAGAGTGAGAGAGAGAGAGAGTGAGAGAGAGAGTGCGTGTATGTGTGTGGTATCTTAATCAGGTAACAGACCCTTGCCTTTTTTGCCCTGCGGTGGCGTAGTTACTTCCGCATTCGTTGCGTTTCGGTGGGGCGTGACGCCTTGCACGAGAAACACCCCCCAAAATAGTGTTATACAGGGTACTATATAGATGGTGCTATACGTGCAGGACAATGGTTTTAGATTAACATATAAACATCCATTCCGTCGCCAGGATGGTGGCTGTGTATGGAAAGTGACAGCGCCTTCATCAACAAACTCCACGACTTGGAGGATGTCCAAACTCTCATGCAGAAATCCGAGCGTTTTGGAACCTACAACGAACGGACGTTCGGTATTTTGTTGGTAAACTAACACTTACACATATCTTTACCTTTGGTTGAAAGTACTAGTACTTGTAATTCTAATAGTATAGGCTTTATTTTAAAAAGAGGAGTAAAAAGAGTATAATATGCCTTAAATGATTATATCAAGGTCCAATTTATTATATGATCAGATTATAGATCACTACAATGTTCAAATTTTTGCGAATACCTATCGATGCAATATTTTAATTTATTCGCAATTTTTGCTATGGTTGTATCTAACTAGTACATAACCATTGTTCTACAATTTCCCGCCGCAGTATTCGGACACAGACCCGGAGTTCTTGGAGTACGAACTCAACTCCCGTTTTGACGGCAAGAAAATGCCGAGACCGAGCACCAAACTGGCGAAGTAAGTAACACAGCAGATTGTAGACAGTATCTATCTATAATAGTATGTCATCTAACTTATATGTATTCACCTATAGATACGACCAGTTATTTGACTTGCGTTTATTCCTATTCCTATTCATATCTAACATTTACATTATGCCGTATTCACCTAATGTCTAACATCAGTTTCTATCTCTGTCTTTCTATTTATTTATTCATTTATTTATCTACGTTATACATATATATCTACCTATCTATGTGTCCAATTTTTTTCTATGTATTTATCTTTGAATAGAACATTTGATATAAGGTTGCATTAAAGCTGCACAGTATGTAAAAGGAAAGCGTACTAGTTAATTCTATACGCTAAACATATCATGCATTTTTTTCATATTTCAACATTTCATGACTAGACATGGTGACAGCAGACTCAATTATATCAACTTATTTTATGCCGCCACCAATGCAGAGGACGAATAGAGGACAAGACAACACTCGTTAAGTGAGGAAAGTCGTGTAAAGTGCCTTTCCAAAGGGCACAAGATCGGTGGTATTTCAGAACGCGAACCCAGGGCCTCTTAGTTACGAGTCGAGCACGTTGCCGCTACGCCACACGACCTCATGACCATCTTTTATTCATTAGGACTACATGTACATCTGTTTAACGTGAGTTCTAGGAATTTTTTAGTTATTTGCTCCAACTGAAATTTTCTCCTTTCTGCCCGGTGCATTAGGAAGTACACGGACTCTGAGCGGAAGAAGGAAGAGTCTGCACGGGTGAAACGCGAGGTTCTCACGGCGGCAGACAAGTTCCTCACGGCGCTGAGGGAGAGCAACCTGGACAAGAACGACACCATCGACAAGAAGGAGCTGGAACGAGCTTTTAGAAAGGTATACGTAATACGCCTAATCGTACTCTTCATTCACCCACTCGTGCCAGGCCTGTCTCTTTGTATCAAGAAAAGGTCCTGGCGTACCGGCCTGCGATCCGTTTGTCTCCTTTATTTCTTTAACCAGTAATTACAGCTCAGGCCAGTTTTGCCTGCTTTTCAGGTAATCCTGGATATACATAAAAATACACACATCCCTACGTCAGCGCTGGCCAGCTGTAAGCCAATCAGAGACCCCTTTTATTTTTGGAGGGAAAGTCACCAGCCAATCACGTTTCCTCTTTTAGACTATCCTTCTCAGAACTTCAGTAACCTTCCTCAAGACCTTCGGACGTCAGCAATTGGTCAAAATTGACAGGAAGTTTATACCGCCCGCCGTCATTGTGATGTGTGATGGGGGCTAGTAGTAGTAGTAGTAGTAGTAGTAGTAGTAGCAGTAGTAGTAGTAGCAGTAGTAGTAGTAGTAGTAGTAGTAGTAGTAGCAGTAGCAGTAGTAGTAGTAGTAGTAGTAGTAGTAGCAGTAGCAGTAGCAGTAGTAGTAGTAGTAGTAGTAGCAGTAGTAGTAGTAGTAGTAGTAGTAGTAGTAGCAGTAGTAGTAGTACTAGTAGTAGTACATGTAGTAGACTAGTTTATTAATTAAACAAGCGAAAAAGCGAAAAAGTACTGAAAAGCCTCCTGGCAGCCGTGATGGCTGAATTACAAGGCTTATTCTGACGACACATTTCGACTTGATATATACAATTTCATAAATTTTTTTAAAGGGGTTCAGCTAATCTTTATTGGACTTTCGTATTTACATTCCTATTTGTTTTGCTGCACAGAGGCACTTGTTTACGCCAGAAGATGCCCGTATCCTGTTCGGAGACGGCGTCAACATCGATGACGTGTTCTACATGCTGGACGTGGACGGCGACGGACAGGTAGGGTCACCTGTCAATCACCTGTAACACACCGGTACCCATACCGATCTAGCCTGGTTATGACAAAAAGGGCTAAACGTTCTTGCCAACAGTACACAACACTGAGTAAATTGTGACTAGATTTTCGGCTGACCACGGAATGGACCCTTCTACTGCAGCTTCCGGGACGTGACGTCGGAAACACGTGATTGCAGCAAAGGGTCATACGTGTCAGATAACCTGTGTCGCCCCCCGTCTCTGTTCAGTGTTGGAGATAATGAAGTATACCAACACAGATGAACTTTCATGCTAAAACTTGAACTCACTTATAGTATTGCTCTTTGTTCCTAGATCACGTACAGAGAGTTGGTGAACTACCTGGAGACGAAGGGTGTCCATCTGTTCTCTAAGTACCTGGGGTACCAGCGGCGTAACATCGAGAACGTCGGCGACTTCCTCTTCCAGCTCCAGGCCGCTCAAATGATGATCTCAAAACGTCTTTACGTTGAGGTACGGTTTAAACATTCTGGTTTTATTTTTTTACTAGGCCACAGCAACTTAAATTTAATGGATGACATCCTCCGCAGACTCTAAATGTATTGCGATAGGGCGAAAAAAAACAAGGCGGGCCAAAAAAAGAAGATTCCTACACTTTCAAATTTTGACATCATAAACCTTGTTAAAAACAAGAAATAAAAACCCGTATTTTTCAGGGTTTACTGCCAACTATTACAACATCCGTTGTCACTGAAAAATAAAAGCTTTCAATAATTGTGCAAATGGGTTTGATTCAGTGGGAACATCACATGTAAAAGGAATAAAATACATCAAAGTAAAAGACAAAACAATAAATCAGAGCCTTGTCTTGTCTCCTCTCTTCATATTTATCTGCCATCCACGTTCCGGCATGGCAACAGACATCTTTGCCCATTTTTGGCATGTTGACAGCTGACCACTGTGAGAGTGCAACAAAATTTCTTGTTTTTCCCCAAATCAGGCGATAATCAATGCGCGCGTTGATGTCATCCATAAAAATTACTTGCTGTGGCCTAATCGGTACGAAAGTGTTGCTTCGGGTTGTGTCTCTGGTTGTCCTAAGGTGATTTTTTGTGGTTATGATATAAAGCTGTAATGTACGTATCTCTGCAACTTTGGCGACGTCTCAGGGAGGAGCCTAATAGTACAGTATTGTGTGCAATTCGCAAGAATTCTAGGAATTGTACAGGCATTTTGTCCACAGGAATGGAATGTCCACGGGCATTTCTCTGACCCACATCTATGCCCACATTCCTGGGAACCCTTGGGAAGACCCAGAAGACCTGTCTGCCACGGATGACCCTACTTTCTGTGACCCCGGGGCTCGTTCACTATACACTCGGGGGAGGAGTGCACTGTATCTGTCTTCCTCAAAATCATGAAATGATGGCAGTGCCATGCAAACAATGACCCTTACATCAACCACTGCCGCCATGGCAATGTATGTTTTCATTGCCAGTCTTGTTTCTATTTCAGAAACGGGACGCCGACAGAACTATTGGCGTCGACACAGACTACGTAGACACAGCGGATTTTGATCTCGAAGCTGAGGACAAACTTTTTCTTATCGAGGTACGTCAGAAAGGCTAAAAATCGGGCATTTCTTCTTTTTGTCTTTTCTTCGCCAAAAAATAGGAAAAGGTCAAAATGTATGGTTTTTGTATGTAATGTGGACTCAGAGATTCACACATCAATTTGCAAAACAATTGAGCTGGTATCATGTTGATAATTTCTAAAATTTAGCAAAAACTGCTTTGGGGTCCGCGCGAACCCCAGGTGTACAGATTAATCAGTCCGGGAAGGTGTTCTGTTGAGGGTTAAACATACATATTCTTGACTTAGCTAAGTCTGCAATATGTGCAATGTAGTCTGTAAAGAAAAAAACACTTGCAAGAATGACCTTGAAAAATAGATTGCTATTGATCTTTGAAACAAAACTAATTTATTTCTAGATATAAAAGGGATTTGGTACGACAAACGGTGGACACTTATTGAAATTCATATCTGTTTTTGTAAGATTAGTCTTTGAAAATCGAATCTATCTTCGGCCAAGCAATTTTTCTTTTCGTGACGTTTCAACCTATCATGCCAATATAAAGTGTTGGTACTACTTTAATAATATATCCCTTTCAATATTCCGCGCTTTGGCTTCATAAATTACATAGATAAGATATCATTTCTTGGACCAGTGATATTACACGGTCACGTCTGTCGTATGATATCGATTCTTAAGTTGTAGAATGCTGAATCAAGCATGGATAATGTATATAGTTTAATTTGCGTTCTTAACCCTTGTCCTGCTGGCATTCCTGGCACAACATCTTTCAATAATTTCATGTCTTAATTAGATCATAGACCCTCATTTGTTTGCCCTGCAGTGGCATGGTTACTTCCACATTCGTTGCGTTTCGCTGCGATGTGATGCGTTGCACGCCCCCAAATCGTACCTATACAGGGTGCTATATAGATGGTATAGATGGTATGTGCAGAACAGCAATTGTTGTGCTCCGCAGGACAAGGGTTTTAACATTCATTTTTGCTGTTAACAATACGTGTGTGCAAAAAGCCATTTAGAAAATGGTATTTACGGGTAACCCCCTCGATAAACCCCTACGTTTCTTGGCATGGGTTGCCTGGCACATTCGTTGCAGTTGACATAATTTGTTACATACTTATGTCGTTTTTAGTCCGAACTGCAAATAAATAAAAAATAATAATAGTAAAAAAAATAAAGATTCAAGACGGCCTTTTCAACAGCAAGACAGTTGAAATGAATTCTAAATAATACTAGTACATGATTGACTGCCCCAAGAATGTAGCCTCTACCAGGCTTCGGGAGGCGGCTGTTCGTGTACCGCAAAATGTTCTCTCCCAGCAGAAAAACTCCCCTGGCATGTTATCTATCTATTTGGCCGATTTCTACTCTTTCCAGCCGCCTCCCGAAGCCTGGTAGAGTCTACAAAGAATGTCTTCATTTTCTGGACGTACGATGATTGTACAATAAATGTGACCAGATCCCTAGTCACCAACTAACTCTTCTTATTCCCCTTACTGCTATCTCTACTTTTCTTGTGCATTTCTACATTTTTCCCCTCAACAGCAAGGAAAGAGAGGCTGCCGGGCCTTCCTGAAAAACTACGTCAAAAAATTCAAGCTCAGGCCGCGAGGAGAAGACCCTCGTACCCCAAGAAAACCTCACCGAAGACCGGGTCCTGATCCTTCTTCTACCTCTTCAAGATATCTTCCTAATGTCTCAGACTCCTCAGCAGATGTACAGACTTCTTACTCTACAAGTCATGATTACTTTGATGACTTCACGGGTGCAGTGCCGAAGAGAACGCATTTTGCATCGAGCCAAAGAGAGTCCATCCAGCAAAGTGAGGATTTCATCGAGTGATCCTCAACATCAACCTTCTTATTATGTTTACCGAAGGAAAACATTGTTTTTGCTACGTTTCCTCTTCTTCTTCTTCGGTTCCAAACACTGAACTCTGACCTGATTTGTTGACGTCTCTCACCATGGTGACTGGTGTTGGTTTAAATAATGTTGCAGTTTTATAGTAGGAGGGATTTATACTCCTGCCTGACCATATATATGAATGTTCTTGAGTAATAATTAACAGAGCAAACCATATGCGAAGGCAAACATTATGCATTCCCTTTGCAAATGTTACCTTTCTAATAAAATAATATGAGCTCATTTCTCTGTACCAAACAAAAGCTGCCCTTTCCTCTATACCTTTCTGAAATCATCATTTTTAATAACTGAACATGAAAAATCTGTATTGTATACTTCGTCACTTAAGTGCAATAAATATAAATGATATGTACGAAGAATAAGCGAGGGGCTGATCAAAAATCATACCTTGCCATGTACTAGTCCTTGCTCTTCATTATTTACATCCTAAGAAGTTATTCGTACCTTACATAAGAGGGTTAGGTTTTCCTCCTATCAGAAGCTACAAAGAAAGTTACAAAGAAAAATCCTGTATCACTTAAACAATTTGTGTGTAGCAATACGATATAAAGTAAAATGTATTACCAAACAACAATAAAGTTGATAATCCCATATGCATTGCAATAAGTGGAAAAGACAGCCATGGCCAAGTTACTAAGAAGTTTAGATATAATTTTAAGTTAGTTTTAATTATCATATCAATATAGTGTTATTACTTAGTTTTGATTAGCAGCTCTATCACAAGTTTCTGTTGTTTTGTACTAGGTTGTTTATTTACTCTTTATTTATTTATTTTTTTAAATGATCGACAATTGTAGCAAGGCAGGCGGGGAGCTCGGGCATTCCTGCGGGAGTTTGTGCGGAACAACAACATGCGTCCCCGCGACTCCCAGCGCCGGTCCTTCCTGAGACAGACGTACGGGAGACAGAACTCCGCCGCGGGGGGTAAACCTCCCTCCCGACCCGGCTCCAGGCGAGGCAGCTTCGACTTCGGCAACTGAGTTTCCTCGGTAAGGCCACACCGACTTAATTTTATGGATGGCATCCCCGCGCGCATTGATTTTCGCCTGTTTTTTTTTTTTTTTAAAGATCACGTCCACTGGGGCTCTGGTCTGGCATAAGGTCTGGGTTATATTGAGGTGGTAATTACTCTGGAGGACGGCACCCACTCTACCGAAGCTTCACGACTCAAGAACTTCGTACATACATTTTGTACGTACAGTGCCGATTCATAAATTCCGCAAAAAGCCAGCATGTTCCGGGTTGTCGTAAACATCGCTGTCTGTGTACTGCCACAAATTCACAAAACCAGCCTTGTATTCCTGTGGATTAGTAGCATTTTTATTTTTGGCCGGAATTTTTCTTTATTCGCCCGCGCGCACTAGTTTGGGGGTCTTCAGATGATGTCATCCATAGAATTAAGATTGTGTGTGGCCTGACAGGCCGTTTCGCCACATTGTCAGTTCGCTACCGTTGTTTCGCTACATAACAGAAGCCGTTTCGCTATATGTACTGTATAGTAGAAGTTGTTTCGCTACGAACGTCATTTCTCTATATAGACCAGTAGCACTGACTTCTATGTATAGCATATGAAACCGCGCACCCGCACAGAAGCAAAGGGAACTCGTGTGTCACAATGTTCAGCTTTGCACAGTATTTACAATTTGTCAGCACCGCTTAATTTGTGTAACGCAGGATTTAGGCCACACCAATTCAATATGTTGGTTCTCGGATTTTCTGAAAAAATATGAAGCGACAGGGCGACAAAATTAGGTCTAGGCATCCTATTACAGCCCCAAATGTTATATGATAGGAGCCATGAAGTCTAAACAAAAGGCTGGGTTAACATCTAAACAATGAATTTTGAACTTTGAATCAAACCACTGCATTGATGGATGGGAAAACTGTTGCAGCTAGGAAGAAAAAGATTTTCCTCAACTGTTGGGGGCAAAATCTGAGCATATTTGAGTTGATTCAGAACCAAAATGTTTTTTTTTGCAAATCAGAAAAATATGAAAAGGCAAATCCGAGAACCAACAAATTAAATTCGTGTGGCCTTAGAAATGTTTCACAGCATTTGCAACATCTGTCAATATGTGCGATGAAGTTTTTTCTTTATTGTCTTATATACAATTATCTTGTCCATATACATGTAGCTGTATCTGTTTAACAGTGCCTTGCTTAAATATCTCAGACCATATCTGATTTAACTGCTGTTGTTCCATTATAAGTTGGCTCCAATGAAACAAGTGTGCAATGTATAGACTTATGTAGAATTGATAATTTTGAATAGTGGGATCATTTACATGTTTTGTGTTTTCTAATCTACATGAATATTGTTAGTGCTAACCTTATGTAATATATACTAATATACAAATGTACATTGTGTACATTTCGTCACATTTTTGCATGTCATTGATTTCATTGTTGTTGTCAATTTTTGTGTTTGTCAGAATTACCATAAAGCATACCAAAATGCTGCTTCAATATATGCATTAAGGTAATATTGTTTATGTATGTAAGTTTTTTTTTTTGCATTTTGGTGATGAACCAAGAAAGTTGCACTGGGATGTATATGTGTGATTTATAAAATGATGATGGCATTGCAGATGGAATAAATACCATACATTTTTGCTTACAAAACGCAAGTCGTATTACTTACATGCCTTTATGGCTGACAGTTTGCTTTATTGGAAGTAAAATATAATATAAAATTCATAGTTCAGAATTTTGATATTTTTAATTTCAGGGTATGGTGTACATAATATGTGAAAATGACCGTACGTTTGCTGGGTCGTTCTGTTCTCACGCCCTCTTTTATTAGCGCCACAGTACTAGGCGGGACAAGTATCCAAGCGCAAATCTACGTCGACTGAACACGCACCTTAATTCAACATTTACAGTCTCAACTCTCAAGATTGATGAATTCCTCTAACATTCACCTCCATTTCCATCTCGATGCCATGCACAGAACAATCTCTGCACCCTTCTCTAGTATTGTGCAGCACTACTTTGTGCCCGGACTTCTTTTGACTATGGGGTTTGCCTATAGATGCTGTGTTGTGCGGCCTTGTCCCAAAGTCTGTGTCAGCTTTAGTCCACTTACCATTTTATCCACAAATGGGGTTATCGTAACATCTGTGTCCATAATATCACCAGGGTCCATAATATCGCCAGGGTCCACAATATCACCAGGGTCCATAATATCGCCACCTTGAGAAATAGTGTGCTTAAGATATTTTTACTGCAACATACCATAGGTATGTACATTTGATGTGTGAAGGAGTGCATACCAAAAGTATGTTGCAGTAAAAATATCTTTAAGCACACTATTTCTCAAGGTGGTGATATTATGGACCCTGGTGATATTATGGACACAGATGTTAGCAGATCATGGCTACATGTATATCACTCACTGTCTTTAATCCTTTGCTATATGCTTGTCAAATCTTACTGAAATTTTACTCAAAACTTTGGAACCAATTTTATCTATTCAGCTCTTCAGTAGTACCAAACATCATGAATCAAGGTATTGCTGTGTCAGCTTGTTCCTTTGCTGTTAAATATATTCTGTGCGGCGTATTGATACAGCTCCTGGTTGATGTGCTTCAACCTCTTCACTTCAAACTCTAAGTCCTGTTTACTCACATGCTCACTTTTCTCCTGAATATCCTTCTGCAAGGAAAAAAAAAGATACTAACATAGTAAACAAATGACTAACCATGCATAAAACATGTCGTTTTAGCTATCATATGGTGGCAAAACATTACAAACAATAGGAATGGTGTTTATATCAAAACTGTTAATAGATAAAATATGAAATTTTCATACCTGTTCGGTGTAACTGTGCACTCTTTTAAGTTCACTGTAGTTCTGGAGCAACCCTTCAGACACCATACCCTGCTTACCATTAAAGAAAATTGGAAAAAATACAAAACAAAGTCATGCACATACTACATGTATGATGATGTTGCAACTTATTTACAGTACGTACTTCTAAATATTTCTAAGTACGCAATAACAGTCACTGTGATAGACCAAATTTTGCAGTTAAAAGGGAAAGGAGATTTTTTGTAGTCTCCACCAGACTTCTTTTGCGGGGTGAATAAATCGTAGAAATCGGCCTAAAAAGGGTATTAATTGGCCAGAGAAGATAGCCGGCCAGAGAAGCTCCATTTCT